TTTTTTTTTTTTCGAATACCGGATATAAACTTTTTTTCGATGCACGATTTACACGTCCACAGAGAAATTAATTAATTCTCCTGGATGAACGATGTATGTGAGAAAAACTTGATAATCCGGCCAATAACAGCGAAACTCTCTTCCATTCGATTTTGACAGGATCGTTCGGGGAAATGTTCGAGGAATTTTCCAAGAAATAATTGGCAGATTCGGTGCTTTCGAAACTTGGTTGATCTTTAATCAAGTTTTGGTCCAGGAATTGAAAAATGATCAAAATTTCGGATTTGATATCGAATGGATTGAGAAATTATCGGTAAAAAAGTGATAAAAATTTCGAATTCTCGAATCGAAGGGTCGAAATTGGTAAAAATAACGCCGGATTAAGAATTTCGAATCCTCGAAAGAAAGGAGTCGGTGTGGAGATGCAGAAATTCGAGGGAAATCGTCAACAAGAAAATTAGCAGAAAAGTAAGATAAAAATCTCGAATCAAAAATTCCAAAAATATTATCGAGAGGATTAAAGAAAATTAGCATCGATCGAATTTCGAGTCCTCGAAAGGAGCGAGTCGGTGCGGAAATGCAGAAATTCGAGGGCAAACTCGTGGAGAGGGGAAATTAGCGCGTGGAAAAGTGATAAAAATTTCGAATCCTCGGGAACGATCGAAACGATTCGAAGAACCGAGAGATGGTTGCTGTAATTAAAGGAACGCCAACGGTCAGTCGTTGAAAAGTTTTCGATGGCCCCGGGCCACTTGAACCTGAGCCGACAATGAGTAACGAGTTTCGAGCCATTAGAGAGAATGGAAGACGAAATAAGTGGGCCGGGCCCGCTTCTTCCACCCTTAAAAACTCGACTAGGAACAAAAAGCCAGCTGGCTAGCTACTTTCTCTCTCTCTCTCTTTCCTTTCTTCCTTCTCTTCCAGAATCGACCAATCTTCCTTGCACGATGCACTTTACCGATGAGGTTACGATCGCACGCGCCACTTGCTCGTGAAATTCTTCTCGAGCTTCTTCACTTTGGTCGTGGCCGGGAACCAGAAAGACCATTCGTCGCGTGGAAAAAAATTAATCGACGAAAATGGGGAGAGGGATGCGAGTGACGTCGGATGGATGGATCCAACAACTATGGGGAAGAAAAGAACATTTACATAAATGCTTAAGTTGCCGGAGAGAGAGAGAGAGAGAAAGAGAGGGAGAGAGAGAGGAAGAACCTTAAAAAAGTTGGGCCGGAAAACGAAGAAACTTCAAGTCCCTGTAATGAGCTCGAAATTTTTCCCTCCTCCTCGGTCGAGTTTGCGAGCCTCTTATCGGGCGGACCTTCTTTGACAAACGTCAAGAAACGAGGAAAAGGAGGAGGAGGAGGAGGAGAAGTTGAACGATAAGAAAAACGAAGAAGATGAAGTCGAGGAATACGGGATTACTTTTTAATCGTTTCGTGCTTCGAGCTGAATTAATAAAAAAAAAAAGAGAGAGAAAAAGAGAGAGAATGGAGAGGAGAGGGGGGGAATGGAAAATCAGAGGAGGAAGAGAAGGAGAAAGAAGTTGGCAGCAAGGAGAAAGATTTCTGATTCCTTGAATCTCGTGGTGGTCGTGCGGTTCGAAAAGTTAACTTCGAGGAGGTTCGATGAAATCGGGCTCGATGAAAGATTAATGAATATCGACAAAGCCCACTTTGCCCGGTTTGCCCCTTCCAATTGATTATAATTAATACTGTTTAAGAATTCAGAGGCATTGGATTTGCCATAAATTGCGGTCAACGAGCTTCTTATTTCCTCTTTGAAAGATCGATTTTATATTTATGCGGTCTGCGAGCGGAAAAAATTATTCCGCCAAAAGTTATTGGCGGTGACTTTTATTGGAACAAAAATTCCATCGCTTTCTGACAGCTTATTCGTACGCGTAATTGCGACGTGACGAAACGAAACGAAACGGAACGGAACGGGAAAAAAAGCGACGAAGTAATAAAATAATAATAAAGCGAATTTTGAAGCAAGGTGAAAAAAAATTGAGTTTCCTGGTGTCGATTCTTTCCATCAAAACCAGCCCCTATAAATATCAATTAACGAGTTTGAGCGTTAAAATGATACTCGAAACTTTGTCCTGACGATGGAAA